TTCTCTGACAGTGAGCACAATGTTACATGACAATATAAAGAGAAATGCGCAAAAAAAAATACATGCCTATTGCCCCACCACTTACAAGAGAATACTATAGTAACATAAAAAAAAAATATTATCATTAATTATAAATTATCAATAACCAATTAATATATATATATATATAATAATAAACTAACAATCATCAATTAATCTACATCATTCCACATTGAATCCAGGGCGCAAGATACAGATAAATTGATTAACAATTAACAATTACAAACAAGTTTCTTTATGGCCCGAACAGAAGAAATCACTAAATCCAATTCATCCTGGTAGATTCCATGTTCTCCAAACTTAAGTTATTACGTTGAATAAAAGTCCACGTTTTATTAAACTGCTACCAACTGATCATTAAAAAGACAAAATCAGAAACTAAAACCTATTTAAGTGATCAAGTATAGTTTGAGACATGCTTTAATTTAAATTCTCAATTCAGAAACTATAAGGGTGTCGTGTTTCTCTTTTGGGATATGGAACCTTAAATTTTAAATAAAACAATTCCAGCAACCAGTCCAGTATGTATGATACTCGATCATATAGCATGATAAACTGACCAACACTCATTCATAACTTGCATACGATATTTATTATTGCACTTATTGTACAGTACTCGTATAATAAATATTGAAATATACAGTTACTCGACCATAATAAGGTTTCCAATAGAATGTTATTCGGTTCGTTGGCCTGGCGTCCTTGTGAAGCTTTTACCGTCATTGTGCCGATATAGTTGCAAGTGAGCTTAGTAATACATAAATATACTATACACTGACTAGATATCGAAATTGTTATCGCTTCGATCTACGGTTACAAATGTTAAGCAACTTTCGCAAAGGTCGCGCATTGGATGGGTGACCGTTTTTTAAACAAGTTACGCGACTGCAAGTGTTAAACAACTTTTATAAAGGCTCGCGATGGGATGGGTGAAAAAAAAAAAAATATTTTCCGAGAAATTGTTAGTACCTGCATATTAGTTTGTTACCAGCCATCAATCCGTACTACGTTCGAGTTACGGGTTATGGCCTGTACTTGTTATATGATTCAACCAATTGGGAAGTCTTTCCTCTAGTATAACTTCGTTAAATAAGTTGCATAAACAAAGAATCACTAACTTTTAGTTGATTTTATTTAAAGATATAATGTCCAAATAAGTGGTAAATAGAAATTTTCTCGAATGAAAAATATTACAACATTACCTTTTAAATTTACAATTTACGATAAAATTTACAATTTTCTGTAATGGTTTGCGTTTCATTAATTTAAATTAGTTTCTAATTACATCTTCTATTTATTTCATGGCGCAGCTTCACTCATTTTCTCTTTACGTCCAGTCTTCACTTAAAATTCTGTTCAGTAGTTTATTTATTATATTCAAACAGATAAATGGCAAGAATTAATTATCTATGAACATGTTTATACCGACATCTTTATTAAAATATTTATGAAAACATAAGTTTTCAATAATACAGGCTAGGCCTTGTAATAAAACACATGTGAAAGTACAAAAGTACCTACTATCTGAAAGAAACAAATATAGGAAATAAACGCGGTATAAATCTATAGAACTAGTGTTGTCTGTTTTTATTTACTGATTCACATCGATATCGATAAAAGTTTGTTTATGATAGAAATAAAGTTATGAATATTCGACGTGTTTTGGCCTTATTTTAAATAAATATAAGACAATATAGTATATTAAACCCTGACAGAATTAAGTTAATTCGATACATTATACATTGTTAATAGAGTGTTGGATAGGTACGGGCCATTTTAGCACGATTCTGTCAAACGCTGAACTAAATTTGATTAAACAGTAATACTAAGAAATATTGTATGTATGGTGAGGTAAAAGTAACATGAAATCAAACTAATTTGTTGTAGATAAATGCGTATTATATATAAGTAAATAATCAAGAAATTATTATAATACCCGAAATTATTATGTAACCCGGCATATAACGAATATATTCTTTTAACATTTCAATTAAGAATTAACGCTTATATTTTATATTAAAAATAAAATTTTATATTTTTAAGTAATATAAACTCTTTACATTAGAGACAAGTTATTTTTACCGCTACATACATGACTTGAAGAAAAAACATCTGGTTTGTTTTCTAAAACTAATACTAAAAAATTCCTCTGCGATATTTTATAATGTAATTAGATAATTATATAAAACACTCTTATGTTTCTAATTATAACAACAACTAAACATCTCAAAAACTCGGAAAACCAAACATTACCAGTTCTTTTATAAAACAAAAGCTATCGATTAGACAATAACTCCCAACCCTACACCTAGACAAAGCAAGGTCTAACTCATTACATGTACATTCAGATAAAGTAAATTAACTTTTATATCGTCGATTTAATGATCATTTTTGACTACATATGCAATTGGAAGTTATATTTGGAAGCATCTCAGGGCGCCAGAGATTTTATAGCATTTTTCAGTATAGCATTGTGTATGCGAAATTGATCAAATATAATAAACAATACTGTTACTAAAGTCGCCCTATTACGTGTCTTTATTGGAACGTGATTAATTTTAAAAGTACTAAATAGATATTTATATAGTTTTCACCGAAGGATGGCGTAATTTATAGTGAACATCTCGAATAAATGGTTTATTTTCTCACAAGTGCTTCTTACATACGGTAAAGTGGCGGCTCTTAAATTGTGTAATCGATGTATAGTTGCGTACCCATACTACTGTAGTACGATCGAGATGTGCCAAATATGACTGATCGATACATATTTAAAATCATAGAATAAAACAAAGTAGCATCCCGCTAACTGTATGCTGAGATCTTTTTAACTTTTAAAATAACAATAATAAATTTATTGTAATCATCTTATTCTATAAGTAAAATGCAATGCGGTTTTCAATCATTATAAAGATGTATAATGATTTAAGAGGAAGGTCACTGGCAGGAAGCATACTTTATATAAAATCTAAAATATAATATGAATAATATTAAAGCGAAACCTTTAAGTTGCTCATTAAAAACTGTGAAAATTTGTAAATTGTATCTTTTTCCACTTCTGTCTTTTATGGTTGCCGACCCGAAAATATTTTTTAAATATTTATTTTCAACTATCTAATTAATCCCAGCTACTCTACGTTATTTCAAACTTACATATTCCCGTGAGTATATTTACAGTAACATGTTGTCATATCCGTGTGCCAACATCAATTTACTTTCTAAATTACTTTTGCTAATCTTAATTTAATCTTACTAAGGGTTAGTTGCACCCACCTACTTTAATAATAACAAACATGTTAAAGTACCGGTTAAGCAAATAATGAGTTATCAATAATAATAATACATTTGGCAATTGTATTATTTTACCACCTAATTTTCGCTAGTTAAAGTTATTGTTTTACTAAGCCAAGAAAGAGGACAGTGCAGCGCATTCCATAGTCAATGTTAAACTGCAATGATGACCCATTCGAAACTTAATAACATAATTTTAAGGATATACGACCTCCATGGGCGAGGGGCTCGCCCGCCAGTTTCGAAGTGACGCCATCTCTCTTGGCCTAAGTTCGATATTCAGTGGAGTCAATGTAGAAAATTAACTGTTCTACAGGTCTGCGTATTGTGATATCTTCGTTGTTTCGAATTTCTATAAAACAAGTGATAAAATATAAAAGTCTGAAACTTGGCTTCTACTGCATTATACTTTATTACAGTTATTACAGTCTTTGAGGTCTTGTGTGTTAAATTACTTTCGTTGTTTAGGATTTCCATAATAAAAGTGCTAAAAACTACATAATTTGGGGTCCAATAGTCTCTGACTTGTATTTTTAATAAGAAAAGTATCAGAAAATCATTTTCAGTCATCATTACATTTAAGAGACTCTTGTCAGTGTAATAATTTGCATTGTTCTCTATCTTCCGCGATCAACTTAACTTCTTGACGACATGACATTAAGTTTTCCTTTCCTCTTATATAATAAAAAACATAAGACAAAAGATATTACAGGATAGATTAGGAAAGTAAATGCTAATCAATAAGAAAAAACCTATATTCAAATAAAAATAAACAGAAATAGCATAGCATTCTATTGCATATTAATAAAATACGAAGTATGAGTCTTTCATACGTAATGTTATTTAGGACAGAAAGTAAATTTATTAAGAAATGTTTACTGGAAAGTGAACGGTTGTGCCACTAGGCCTGGTAGTTTACCTTTATGGGTATACAAAAAATATATTTCGAAATACATAAATAAATAACTCTGTTTCATATTTATGACTGATTTGAGTTTTGGTTCTCTAGGACTCTTATTTCCTGTGTTTTCATTTTATAAAGAATTTCAAGCCGGGTACAAATATCTATCTGCTTTCTAAGCGACATTAAAAATAATATTCAATTATTCCGGATGTGTGACGATCAGATAAGCGTCTGTATAAGCACACAAGCAATATATCAGATCACTCCAGTAGGCGAAAACAGAATAAACCTCGGTTGCACCAACTCACTTTAGCAATAACAATTATATTATTAATATTATGATGCAATCCAGCCTTAATGTTTAAATTTGATAATAATAAAATATTTAACTGAACCTTGAAGTTCCTTACCCTCCTCATCACAGAACAAATAAAATTATCCACCATGCCACTGTCCACGAAATACATTTAACAATCAAAACTCTTTGGATTCCCCTTTTAAGTATGGTAATGACTGGACCAGTGGGCTCGTCTATAACATGAATTTCTGATTTTTTAAACAATAATGATTTATTCTTTTTATTTTTTATAAATTATTTTTAATTAGACATTACTTAAGTGTTATCGTGTGCATGTACGTGTGAGCGTCTGCGTCTGCGTGTAATGTGTCGTGCGCGGTGCCTGTATGTGTTGCGTACACGTTCCAGTATTTAAGAATAGTTAAAGATTTTATGATATAATTTATTTATCGTAATGTTTGTTTGTTTCAGGTTGTTGTAACACAATGAAGCGGAGGCACAGATGGCTGGAAGTCAGCATATTCTGTGAGTAAAAAATATTATTTTAAACAAATAAAAAATCTGTACAGTTAGGATCCATCAAAAAGTACATGAGCTTGTAGCACGTATCAGAAAGATTGATTTAATTTTTTGTGAACACCGAATTTTGGGTTTTAAAATTATTGGTGTTTTGTCGCAAAAAAAGCCGCTTTCTTAAATATGTGGTTAAACGAGCCTACGGAAGGATATATAAGTACGTAAGGTTTTAACAAAACATTTTCATTAAAATAGACTGATTGACGGTCAGTTTCACAAACGTCCATTAAGGCTTAATGTATCGTATATATATAAATTTGAATCGGTAATGTCGCTTTAAACTAAAAACAGTTTTAATGGACGTTTGTGCAACTGGCTGTGAGATATTCAGAACACTTAAAATAGACTTAAGCGTATACCTCTAGATATTTCTTATTTCATAAATATGACTTTTAAAAGAAGACGATTTTACTATTTACGCTAAAACTAATATTTATTTATATCTTATAAAGTGTTTTTTACAAAGTTAAATGTTTTTTTACAATTACTACTTTATTTGAAACTTTCACTAACTATTTTACCGCTTTATTATTAATAACTTTGTATGACATAGCATTTTATTTTTTGATATTGTGACAGAAAAACGATATTTCTGTATAAAATAAACCAAGGAAAGAAAAGATAAAAACATCTCTTTCTGAGTTTCTTGCCGGTTTCTCGTAGTACAAAATCTCGCGCGTTGGATTTGCGAACCGATGGCGTAGTTTTCACTTCATAAATGAATCCTAGACTGAATTATGTTGATTTGTTAAAAAACCTGCTTAGTGCGAGTCGGACTCGCGCACGAAGGGTTCCGTACAATGATCCATTAAAAAAGTAACAAAAAAACAAGTTTGTTGTTTCTATGGACTTGTTCGTAATTTTCGAGTTAAATACAATTGGTCGACTATTACTCGTAATCTTGTAAAGTCAAGATTACGAGTAATAGTAACGAAAATTAGCTTTTATAAGCTTAGTTTTACTGAGTTAAAAAATGGCCTTCCCACACCCCCAATGTTTTTGAAACCCCTATTCAACGATGTCCCACATTATGGGTAAAAAGAAAAAAAAAATTACCCACTTTATAGAAGAGTTACACAATTTTTTTTTCGAAAATTTACTTTACTTATTTGTCCTATGACGACGTGTATACTCATACCGAATTACAACATTCTAGTACCAATAGTTTTTGAGCTGAATCGCGGACGAAGAGACGGACGGACAGACGGGCATAGCAAAACTATAAGGGTTCCTTGTTTACTACGGAACCCTAAGAAGGTTCAATATATAATAATCGATTGGTGCCCAAAATACAATATTTCAACCTTGACTTTACCTTACAGACGAAATATAGTTGGATTTTAGCAATATAAGTATACCTAATTTTTAATGTCACAATGTTGTTTTGACTCATTTATAAAATGTTATTTCTATACAGCCTTGGCATACAAAGATGAGTGTTTATGTGACATTTACGGATGTTCTATTTTAGACAAATGGTGGATATTATTGGTATTGAAAATAATATCAACCCACAATATAATAGACAAAAATAAACATTATCAGATTGTTATCTTATAAAAGATCTTCAGCGGCTTATGAAGGCGTCTGAACCAACAATAACTGATTTTTATGTCCAAGACCAGCTAAGCAGCAGACCAGCAGTATTAATTATGTCAAAACGAATAACATTAGAAGTGATTAATATTCCAATCGGGTTTAATATACATTAATTTGTTGATAGTTAAATTCAAAATATATTACGTAAGCCTGATATTTTGTAGTAATCTGACATGTGGCTGTGTGTATTCCAGAGGCGGATTTACCCTAACGCCTTAGCAGGGCCGGGCATCTGTCATTTTGACATGTTGTTTCTTGTGAAACGGGCTTAATGAGAATGGATATTAGATGCGGCAAATAATTGCATAAATATTGTGTACCAAAAGCTGAGTGACGAAATACTGAGTACTTACTGTTAATTGTATCTTCACTTGTTAGTTTAAATAAACTTTTTAATTAATGCATGTGTACTGAGCTGAGATAATAATGGGCATAATACAACTGTTATTTCATATACATTTTAAAATGTTTTCATGGAACAACAACTGTTATTATTCATGGGCAGAGGCATGTTTTATTGCTATTAATAATTAATCATTTTATTTCATCACGTCATAAACACAATTTTTTTTTGTTAAATTTATTTAATATCAGTTAATAAACGTTGACGGGAAGTAAATCCATGTGCAGTGCCTAAATTATGGGAATTAGGGCCAAAAAGGGCGGCTAGTACTATGAGGCCAAGTCTACAAATCTGCCTCTGGTGTTCATTGAACTCTATTGAAAAAGTCTATTATATCCCTACCTTCCTATTTGCAAAAAAAAAACAAAGCTCAACAATATATACAAGTACGTAACAATATCCACATAATAACATAATAACATTGTAAAACTAAAGTAATTTACTTGATAATGAAGTAAATTCATGTGCAGTGCCTAAATTATGGGAATTAGGGCCAAAAAGGGCGGCTAGTACTATGAAGCCAAGTCTGCAAATCTGCCTCTGGTGTTCATTGAACTCTATTGAAAAACCTTTCTATTTGCAAAAAAACAAAGCTCAACAATATATAAAAGTACGTAACAATATCCACATAATAACATAATAAGATTGTAAAACCAAAGTAATTTACTTGATTATGAAATGATCGAATCACTTCTAATAATCACAAAATAGGCTTTAATTATATGGTTTTAATAGTTTATGACAGGTACATACTACTTAATAATTTAATTTCTTTTTTTATATATACCGTTAATTTTTTCTTTGTGTATAACATAATCTAAGCTTAGGAAGGATTTATCTGCCAACGTTACAGGATTTCCTAGTAGAATTATGTCTTTATAATTATTATAAAGTAAACAATGAAATTATTAAAATCATTATTAATATTTTTAAAATCAAGACGGCTTTGGGTTAAGGGAGAAAATCTGTGGAACTTCCGTGCCCCCCCTCCAATTTGAGCAAAAGAGCAAAAAGGCGCATCCATACTATCCTTTCCACGTAGTCAATCAGGCCATTTTGAATCTTCTGTAACGTCGCTGTTAAATAAACTGAAAACTAATATTTTCAGTGACCAAGTGGACATACCGTGTTAGGGGATATACGAGAAGTTGGTCCCTCGTCGCAAACGCGATGCATCTTTTGGTGATGTTAATTACCATCTCTTAGTGAACAGTCTGTTTAGTAATCTGCATATATATCTTTTAAATTTTATACTATTATAAATAGACAACTATTTGAAACAAAGGCATCCTTGACATTTTGTCAAGAACTCTTGAAGATGAGCTCTATATTATTATTGCATATTCGATAAATTGTTGAGCAACTTTTAAGGCTCCTACCTCTTGCTCATAAATATAATATTATTTTGTATTATCAAACAGTTTTCTTAAATGAAAAGAAAACATGCTATTTTTAATTGAATAAAAGGTATCAGTGCGTTTATTTTATTTGTAATGTTTTGGTTACAAATAAAAAAACCTACTCGTACATGAAATTTACGCGGGAAAGTCAAAAATGTCCCCCCTTCCTGAAGACTTCTTTACGATTATTGATATTGGTTCTAAAAACTGCAAAACAGATTCGAAATGTGAAATACTAACTTTTTTTTAAAACAGATGAAGAAAATGACATTAGTTGAGTCTGTATCGTCTGTATTAAATCCCGTTGCTCAAAACTCAACAACAAAAAGCACTAAAGCAAGTGTTTTCGTTATTAATTTTGTTTGTTGGTTGTTTATTAAATAGGTGTGCAGTTTTCCTCCAAGAAATAAATGTAATTTTTTTTTACAAATATTAAAAATCTTTGAGTGTCTTTGAATACAAATCTTTTTGTAGCTTATATTCAGAAAAGTAATGCATTAATTAGAACACTGTATGTCTTAAAATCATTTTGTTTGGGTTTCAACAATATCCAGTTTCGTTCAGAAATGAATAATATTTACATTGTTTACTTTTTGTAATCAATTTATCAGGTATAGGGATGCAGATACTATTTTAAGAGCTAAAATATTTTATTTGGAAACAAGGAGTATCCTTAATTAAACATCAGTCATTTTAAATTACGACTTCCATAGCCAAGTTGTTTCGTACGCTGATTTCAAGGTGTCGCACTCTTTGAGATTCCGGGTTCGAGATTCGTGTTCGGGTCCCGGTCAGGTCAGTGTAGAAAATGGACTTATCTCGGGTTTGGGTGTTATGGTGCTTTCGTTGTCGTCCGTTGGTATTTTATAATTTCATCATTTTAAGCGAGCAATCGAGAATGTCGCTTTAATACAGCACTCGTCTGTTTTAAATTCTGTATCAGTTTACATTTAAATATCAAGGTGATATTATAAGTGTGTCTAATGTAAACTTTAGGGACCACCTTTCAATCATCAAGTCAAACCTGTTCATTTATTATACCATACCATAACTATAAGCGAAAACTTCAAGTTCTATTGTGTAGCTAGCTGGATCGGCGTACTACCGCATCAGAAGTGAATAAATTCAATAAAATCAATTTCTGATGGATACAAACAGTAACATCACTAGCTTATTAAAGTCCCCACAGCTGGAGCACAGTCCTAGCCTAAGGACGGAATCGAATAATGAAATTTTTAACAAATTTTGGATCTCCCATCCTATAACGGTCCCCTTACGAAAGTTGCTTAACCTCTGTATTGTAGACCGAAAGGTTCAAATATGCTAACCACTACCCAATCGAGCTATGTGAAAATCAAATTGTTACTTTTATTATTATCCTTGCATTTTTCTTTTATTTTCTTACCTTGAAATAAACCTTCTTTTGACTTTAACAAATATTTAAAAAGCACATTTATTTATTATCCTGACTCTATATCAAGTCTATATCAAGAAGTTTAGATATTCTTTATTTAAAATTCTTGTGCCCATTCGTAAATATTAGTGAGCCCAAGTAACCCTGAGAAACATCATATAATCTATGCTTAATATTATTACGAGGAAAAATTTGATTGTTTGCATCAAATAGTCTTCGAAACTACTGGAACGATTTAAAAAAAAAATCATGTACGGGTAGCTACATCTTTTGAGGTTGAGCATTGGCTATAATTTACGCGTATGAAGTCGCGGGAAAACAGCTGGTTTGACATAATTATATTTTAATAACGTCCGTAATACATAATAACTTCACACAAGTTATTAGAAAATTTTGTTCGATATTATTTATTTATTTAAAACCAATCAGTAAAATATACATAATGTTTTATCTATGTTAATATTGTTAATTCGATTACAATAGGTCTGGAATGAATACTAAGTTCAATAGCCCATAAAAATAAGAATGAAATAAAGCTATGTATATATTTAGGTTAATTCATACTAAAATAATAAATGGGAAAGTATTTCAGTTTGTTGTTCTTTCACGTTGCAACAAACCATCGTTATGATATAATTTATGTAGAAAATGACATAGGTATGCTGCTACTGCTCTCGGTTTCCTTTTGACTATTCGGGTGAAGCCGCGGGTAATAGCTGTTTTATTTTGTAACCAAAATTAATTATTATTTTTCATATAACTTAATTTCGGATCATAAAGAGATAAAAAGTCACACACTATTAAATTATTATTTTTAACATTCAAACCTCATCAATAATATTCCAATAAAAACTTTTTATACTCGTATTAGTATTAGTCTGTGATTATATTTATCATGTGACCGGTTATTGCACTTTTTTGCAGTAGATAAGTTGTGATCTTTGACATTAAGTCGTGTCTTCTTATTAAATGTTTTAAATTACAATGAGCAGTATTATTGGCAACTGAATCTTAATTATTTCTATTTATAATTCTGTATTGATATTTACCCATGACTTTTCACTAACCGGCGAATCCCGGCTAGGCCTGCCTATTTTAATATCCAAAAAATAATAATCCAAAATTACTATGGGACACAATAAAGAAAATAACTAACACCACGAAAGTTAAAAACACCTCCACACAACTACTTAAAACCTCATCTTCATATCTTCAGGCATGTAATGACGTTAATTATTTTTTCGCTAATATTGGTAAAAATCTCGCAGACAACATAACAAAACACCAGTCATCACAACAAACCACCATCGCACAATCTGTTCAGAATTCAACACCTTGTTCTTCATTCGTCTTAGCTTACACTGACCATGATGAAATAATATCGACTTTGCACTCACTTCGTGCAAATGCTTCCACTGGATGGGACGGTGTCTCACCGTACATCTTACAGCGATACACATTTTTCCTGGCACCTATCCTAAGCTACTTATTTAACCTTTGCATCGACACCGCTGTCTTTCCAAACGCTTTTAAGAAAGCTATAATCCATCCTATCTTTAAAGGAGGTGACGCGAGCCTGACGAACAACTATCGCCCTATTGCGGTGCTAAGTTCCTTATCGAAGGTATTCGAACGGTTAATTAATAAAAGACTTGTTTCATACCTGGAACGTTATAATCTGCTATCAGCTCAACAGTATGGTTTCCGCCCGAAGAAATCTACTGCTGACGCTATCCACGAACTAACGAACTTTATCGTTCAGAATCTAAATGATAATAAAAAAGTTTTATCAATATTTATAGACCTTACAAAGGCGTTTGATACGATTCCTCTATCCACCCTCATACTAAAACTTGAACAAATAGATGTCAGAGGACCCCCATTAAAGCTACTTCAAAGTTATCTCACAGATCGCTCACAAATGGTTATAATTGATGGCCACACTAGTAGTGAATTACCCATCCAATACGGTGTACCCCAGGGCAGTATAATCGGTCCTACTCTATTTCTCATATTTATAGATGGTCTGTGTAAGTTAAAGATACCAAATGCTATAACTACATGCTACGCTGATGACACAGCTATAACTATCGTTGCTGATGCATGGTCAGATCTAGAACGCAAGGCACAGAATGCCTTTAATCTGATATCAACCTGGCTTCAATCACATACCCTGACACTCAATATATATAAAACTAAATACATCACCTTCTCAATTAGTTCAATATCACAACCCAAATCTCCAATTACATTAAAATCTCATCTCTGCATCAATCCATCCCAAATGTCCTGTAACTGTCCCACACTAGTACATGTTGACAACATTAAATATTTAGGAGTGGTCTTAGACCAATGTCTAACCTTCAGACTACATATAAATTTACTTGTAGGCCGTGTTCGGAAACTCATACATATATTTAAAACTTTACGACACGTAGCAAACCAAACTGTCATCCGCAACGTATACTATGCCCTTTGTCTTTCAATTGTAACTTACTGTATATCTTGCTGGGGTGGTGCACCAAAAACATTTATGAAACCACTAGAAGTAGCACACAGAGCTGTCCTGAAAGTAGCAACATTTAGACATATAATGTTCCCAACCAATACACTATATAAAGATTGTGGTGTTCTAAATGTGCGACAACTCTTTATACTCCACACGGTACTATTACAACACAAAAACACTCCATATAAAGAAATAAGCAAACGTCGTAAAGACAAAATATGCACCGTACCAAAACCACGCACATCTTCCACAAAAAAATTTTTTTACTACTTGGGCCCATATCTATATAATAAAATCAGCCTGAACTGCTCAATATATGGCTCATCACACTACATATGCAAAAAAAGACTCCAAAACTATCTCCAAAATAAAACCTACGCTGAAACAGAGGATCTTATGTTATAACTTATATCATCTGCACCCTGACATATGAACCCAGACACAATCTCACACACACACATAAACACACACACACACAAACACAATACTAACACTTGCATGCTTAATTGTAAAAAAAAAAAAAACGCAACTTGCATATGTATAACATTAACTAATGTAAATCCAAAGGGAAAGGGACTGTTATACCTTACTACAGGTTATTATATAACCTATCAAGGGTAGCAGTACTTCATCCACTTAGATTGTAATAATTGGTTATTTGTCTATTGCTATTGTGAAGTATGTACCTACTACAATCTCTTTTTGAAAATAAAGAAATTATTTATTATTATTTATTATTTATTTTTCGACCACAAATCCGTAACTCTTCCGTTTCATATAACTAGCTGGTAATCTTTGACCTCACATTCATTGCTCAAGCTCAATTATATAGTTATGGAGCACTTGTATGATGAAAATCTAAAATAACAAAAGTACTATAGCACCCAGACCCGGGACAAAATAGAAGGTTCATTTGTAAGTGATCATTTTCCAAAATGGACATTAAAAAATGTAATTCTTATTAAACTTCTCAAATACCAATTTTCATAACAAAGATTTTTTTTACCAACGTTTTTGCCCTATGTAATCCTCTTTGAGGTAAAATCTCTAAATATGCATTATTAGTAAGTAGTAACTCTATGATCAGTAGTTAAAGCCATTAGGCCGGTAAGTCATTTGAATCAGAACAAAAATTATTAGGTTTTTTTTATTAGATTTATTTATTAACCCATCTTGGATAATATATCAACATCAATTGAAATATTATGTAAATTTTTATAATTCAATCGTTTTTGTTGAGACTATATTCAATGTAAGTATAATAACTACAAATCCCCAATTTTATTGCTTTTTGTTGCAGTTTTTGTAACAACAAAGATTCATTGGCGCTTAGAGAGAAGATTACAAATCAATAAGTTTTTTACAACTGGGTTTTTCCATAAAACATTTTTCATTTCGTTGAACACATAAATAAATTATATGTTATTTTAATATGTTTATCCTCAACGTTAACACATCACTAAAGCGTCAAACTCACTGTATGTACGTACACTCGTAGGTTCACCCGACGTTTAAAATATTACCAATGAATTGTATCAACCTAGATTACTTCCTCGAGATATATCTATTAAATTTTCATATCTTTATTAGGATCGCAAACGTCACCGGTAGAGTTGCCAGGCGGGAAAGTGCGCGCGTTGTTTTAAATCTCTTCAAATTGAAAACGGCAAAAGAAATCTGAGACAAAGACTTGTGTCCAAAGACTTCTATGAAGTATTTTCCTGTGTCCAAAGTGATTCTGAGCGAACAAGCGTTTCATGGAAGTTTGCGTTATACATAGTATACGGCAGACCATCCAACATGTATGCAAGGTTGAATGTCATACATAACATACATAAGTCAATACCTGACTGTTTAGGGAATAACATTTAAAAATTTCTATATTTTTTTTATTTAAACCACTAGGTATCTGATTTTTGATTCACAATAAAATGCTATTTAATAAAGGAAAACATTTTTCATTCATTTATTTGAAATGCCCGCGAAATCAGTCTCGTGACATTTTGAGCCGTGACATCACATTTCAATAAACTAGTTGCGACGTTTTGTCTATATATTTATAAATACTTATAATCATGAGTACTGGTTGCAACGTTTTGTATATTATATTTATAAATTATTGTACCATTATGACAATAATACAAGCACAAATTAAAAATTACTTTTAATCTAGCCGCCACTTGTTACGCAATTTAATTGTCTACTGTATATTTGTACCTGTAAATAGTATATGTTGTGCTAACAATAAAGAGTTATCTTTCTATGTATCTAAGGTTTTCAGCAAAATACATTCGCAAACGTAAACTTTGTTTATTAAAATGTGACGTCACATGATGCCCGCCCGCGCCTAGTTATCTATAAGCACCACCTATTGAGTATCAAAGTGAAGCGTTCACTGAGAAGATATCGATTTTATATATATGCTTGTCGCTATTTTCAGGTATGAGCTTCATAGTGTTAGCATCAGAACTGCCTACTGCGTCAGCTGTACGAGCCACCTCGCTGATATTCGCGAAGACCACCACCACCACGACTGCTGCACCTGAAGAACCATCAGGACCTGAAGATGATACTCAGGTAATGTCAACTTAGATTATTTGTGTTTTTCTCTTCTTAGTTTCTAAACATAATCAATAAAACTACAGATCTAGAAAAATGTTATAGAAACAATATTCGTTCTGAGACTATTACTGGAGTATAAGAGTGTGCAGACGGAAGACGGTGCATATCGCGGAATAAAGTTTTAAATATATTTTAAATTAATTACTCGAAAAGCTTTACAGCGGAGACTTCGAAGGCTGAGGTGGTTAATGCATTCTCAAGTAGTAATCCCTTAAATAACTATTACTCTAGTTATTTTAACAACAACAAACAGATAAAATAATTTATTTGACGATAGTACATATAATGGTCTCTTAATTCATGCAAATTAACCCACTACTCGCCTACAATATCAAATCGTATCGATACATTAAAGTTACGAGGAAGTGAAAAGTTAATCGCCTTGATTGGTTGGAGACCCACATCTGTACATTCTGTACGTAGTTGCTCCAGCATTTCCTATATAACGTAGGTCACTAAAACGTTGAGATTAAAAACTTTTACTTCACATTTTTTTCAAATGATACTCAACAATATTGACCGACGTATTATAGGAAATTTTGAAACAAGTACATAGTATAAAGCTCCACACAATAAAAATCGTTTAATATCTTCTCTTATGTTTCTTTCTGGATTTCTGAACACGCCAAAATTCTCTGGCCATTCTCTTTATTTAATAAAATCAGTAGCGAAGGCCCAGCAGTGGTGACAATTCTTCCCTGCCTTACGGTAGTATTAATTATCATAATCTTTTTCGCTGAATACATTTACATACAATTGTATAAATATCCATTAAGGTTTACCAACGGTTTTAAAGTCTAATTAGTATTCTAAATTTGAAAATGTGTAAATGTAATGTCGATTTACACTAATGAAAATTTTTAAAAGGCATTTCTGCAAACTGGTAATGTCGTTCAAAATTTAAATGGAATTTTATGAAACTCGGTTAGTATGCAAAAGTTACTAACGATACACATTGTTAGTAGGTCTTAGGAATACTTTTTGGTTATGTAAAAATATGTGCTTTTTACCTACGTTAGTAATATTGTTTGAAACCCTTTAAAAATTTACGGTTATATAAGAAAGGGTTATGGCGCATTTACACTGATCGGTGATAATCGATTTATATACCAATGAGACGAGCGCGCAGAAGTAATCCGCAGTCCACGTCCTGACCCCATCGATATGTGTAAATAAGCCGTTACAATGTTAATGATGATCTCTTGAAATAATTATTTTCTTTCTTGCAGTTAGAAACATCAGCGGAAGGTGCCGACGCACAAAACACAACAAGTAAATTGACTGGAATCCCACAAATAGACTATATCTACGACCCGAACTTGCCCCGAGAACTGAATGGGTATAACCTGACAGAGTACCCCTTCTACGAGACTGTTCCACCACCAGAGACGATGGACTTCAAATGTGATGGTCTACACGATGGGTTCTACGCGTCCGTACCACATAAGTGTCAGGTATCTACACTTCTAGAAGCTATGCATATCGAAATGGTTAGGTTAGGTTAGGTTATATAATATTGGAAGTTGTACGATTTTTTCCATCACAATGTGCTATACTATGACCGTGCTTTGAACGTATCTAGAATTAAACAAAAGATACGGCTTACTATGCCCACTACGTCGGCTCAACCGATTCTCTATAATTCAAGTTTGGATTAACGTTTTGATAACTTTTATTGACTTATAGTCACCTTAGCACATTTTATAATTTTTAGACACAAAGAATAAGAAAAAAACAAAAGAAAATGTCTTCCGTCTTCTAAACAGCGTCCGCAATCGAAGAAGCACGAAGCACTGACATTATGAGCGCTGACACTGAGATCACTAATACTAACTTGTCATCATCATCATCTTTAGCCCTTTTATGGCTCAGGCTCAGGTCTTACTTATGGACGTGGATTGGTGGGTATTAACGATTGCAAAAGCAGACGCCTGTGACTTAGCCTTCCAAAGCTCGAGATAATCACCCATTCTGAACGCGGACCCTGGCTCTATCCACTATGCCACCGAGCTACTCACACTGACTTGTATGAAAGAATAATAATTATTGACAGTACATAGGTGCAGACCAGCACCTGTGCCAGTATTGTCAGTATTACTTTAATATACTTAAATTAAATTTCACCAACTTACTTTAACAATAACAAACATGTCAAAGTACCGGTTAAGCAAATAATAATGACTTATCATTTGCCAATGGTTGGATGACGTCATCACTTTAACTGTAAATTTTAACCGCCTGTTACCATGGTTTATGTTATTGTTTTACGAAAGAGGATGGTGCAACGTATTCCACAATCAGTGTTTAAGTCAGCGTGACAGATATTGTCAATATTCATAATAATTCTGTGTATAACGGGACAAACCCAGGAAAATAAAATGCTGAAAAAAAACTATCATCTAAAGAATTATCAAATTTGGCATAAACCTTGACTTTAACTGCAATTATGGTGCAATCGAGGCTTAATATATATACATTAATATTATAGTCTGATTTACAAACAACCTTATTTCAGGTGTACCATCACTGCCTTTTCGGCACAAGATACGACTTTTTATGCGCCAACTACACGGCGTTCGATCAGAAAACTTTCATCTGCCACTTCGTCTCTGAAGTAGACTGCAAGAACTCACCGAATTATTATAACAGGTAAATATAGCAAAATGGTCTACGATGCGGAACTAAGCAACTTTCGTTGAACATTGGCAGTTAAAGGATAGATGAACAAAAAATTATCATTTCGAGATCCTCTAATTAGTTGTTAATGTGTTAGATCATAGCCCATTCTCCCTATCCCGATTCCAACCATAGCGAGTGCGGGTATTGAACTCTATCCACACAGATGTTGCTGAAAACGAAACGGCAAGCAGTCACCGATTTCATATTCGGGCAGCAAATTCACAAATGAGGACAAAAGCTAAATTAAACTCACGAGTTTTTAAACACAAATAATATGATGACAAAAATGATAAAAATACATTACAGATAAAATGTAAATGTTCCTAAATCAGCATTATAAATCTATATAAATATAAATTAGTTACTGTTTAGCTAAAAGTCGAGAACGGATCGATTTAGCTGATTTTAGTTTGAAATGATTGTATTAGTCCAGGTAAGGTTTAAACGATGAGAGATGATTCGGAGTACATCAAAACATCCAGTGTTATATTATTTATAAAAGTTCCTAATATATGAATACTATTCATAGGAATGAGGCCCTGTACAAGGCGACGACGTCAGCGCCCCCTCCCCCGCCCCCCACCACCACCACCACCACGACAACTACCGCGCGCCCCCAGCGCCCGCCGCGCCGCCGTCCCGCCCACAGATACGACTACTACGACGACGACTACTACGCCAGGGACGACTACGATTATGAAGAGAGGTATACTATTTTATTTTATTTATTTTCAATATCTTTGGAAAACTTTCAGCTAGTTAATACTATAGATTATTTATTATATCTATAAAGAAGGCCAATTACAAGTTTCCACTTGTAAGTAATTAAACAATAGAAAAAAAAAACGACAACTAAAAGCAGCAATATTAAAATTATGATAGGTTATGCTATGCTACAATATGTAAGTGATCGAAACGTTGAATCGATTGTGTATGTCTAAATCGAACCACATCGCGATCGCAACAGATAACAATAAATCAGGTATATTGTCACGATAGATCGAAGCTGTATGGCATTTGGCGAATCAATTAATCGAAACGTGATTGGGCTGCACATCAGGTTACCACAATATATAAATTTATTTGAACTTCATTTTGAACTCTACTTTTTAAGCGTTAAAGTTTATAATCAAGCGGGGAAAAATGTCAATATGATCGCCGATCGTAACAACTAATCATTTCGATCAATGATTCTTGTGTTGAGAGGCAAAACGACGCGATAGATTGTTACGTTTTTTCATTTCCATCGTAACCACGCATTTATGGATTAAACCTGTCAAAGACTACAAAATCTCTTTTTTATCTTAAAGCTATAAAAAAATATTCCTGGCTCTTATGAGTTAATTGTGACAAAGAAATTGTAAGCATTGTTAGTTTATAATTAACGATGTTAGTGTTACCGTGTCACATAATCACTATCACAATAAAATAATTTAAAGAAGTTTGTTTTCGTTTGGATCGTAAAAACTTATTTTATAAACTTCAGTATAAAATTAGTTTTTTCTTGTAATCTATAGTAATATTGTTACACTTGCTTCCCGTCGCTAGATGACGCTATTACACTTTTAAAACGTGATTTTGTCGCGCGACCGTCCAAAGATATTAAACCAACTTCAGCTTAATCAGTCCGTTAGTTTCAAAGCAAATCAGCTGGAACGAAAAAGACGCACGGACGGACAGAAAAGCAAATAACCGTATGATCATACGAAATACTCTTTTCCTTTTGAACTATTAATCAATACGTAATTGTATAAATAAGAATGTAAATTCAGATCACTTTGATGGTGGAATAGTGAATTTCACGGATCTCGAACAATAAAAACATGTCCAAATATGTTCATCATATATGTTACTAATTTATTCCAGACCCAGAAGAACAAGACCGCGTGCTCAAGGCAGACCTGGAAAAAGAAGGCCGCAAGATGATTATGAAGATGATAGGTAAATATAACACCAAACTAGTATTATTAGATCATGTATAAATTACAAAAAATACTTAGCTCGACTTTTTCGACTTTACTCGATTAATTTAAAATATTTTATATTATCACTATTTGTAAAATTCATAGCCTAAATAAGTCCTCTAACCAATAAACCCACAACCTAACAGGACTGACTAATTTTCAAGCACTTGTTATTTTTTCGCTACTACTGAGCGTATTTTCATCAATATTCAGGCAATTCAACCAAACAGCTGAAAGAAATATTTAAAGCTATCGATAGTATAATATTTCAAGTATAGGATTGTGAATGCACAATTGGTAAAGTCACCAACAGTAGCACAATTTTATATCATGGCTGTTCGGCACATGATTCCATCGCCCTAAATTTCTCAAGAATAAAAAAACAGTAACTAAAACAATGAACTGGAAGTTTCAGAGCTTGCATTAAAATCCGTTGTATAAAATATTTAAAATATTTCAGTGTACAGACAGCGGGAGGCGATTTTGTTTTATACTATTAATAGATAAATAAAATAAATATACATAGATAGAGCGATCTTTTACAGTACATTTTATAATTAAATTAAAATTGAATAATCATCATCTTCAGGTATGAACGACGACCCAGGCCACGAGACGAAGTGGATGAAGACTTTGATGAGCGGCGGCCATACGACAGGAGACCAGCTAAAAGACCCCAATTTGAAAGAAGACCATACGATGAAGATGAAGACAGAAGACCTGGCTACAGAAATAGAAGACCAGTACGACCGCGGGACGATGATGAAGACCGATACGAGGAGGAAAGGCCAAGAAACAGTCAAAGAGATCAAAAAAGAGACGACTTGAGGCCTAGAGAAAAACGACCTAGAGATGAATATAGACCTAGAGATGAGATCCGTCCTCGAGATGAAGTAAGACCTAAAGATGATATTCCCATTAGGGCCGAAATCAAACCTAGAGATGAGGTAAGACCAAGAGATGAAGTAAGACCAAGGGACGACATAAGACCCAGGGATAATATAAGGCCAAGAGATGAATTTAGACCACGGGATGAAATCAGACCTAGAGACGAGATTAGACATCGAGATGAGATAAGACCTAGAGATGAGGTAAGACCAAGAGACGAAAAAAGACCTAGAGATGAAAGAGTGAGAGATGAAGTCAGACCCCGTGAAAGCATTAGACCTCGAGAAGAAAGGCGACCTGCGAGAGAAGAAGATTTACCAGAACCAAAGAGAGAATCGAGGCCTAGAGAAGACAGTGAGGGTAGAAGGTATCGCGATGAAAGACCTTACCGAAATAGAGATGATAGGCCTTACTTAAAACCTGATCGATACGATGATGAAAGAGTAGAGGAAAAAAGAGAAATTCCAACGGCTCCCGAAACTCAAGGTCTCGTTAAGCCCAGTGGGCATGGGCTTTTCAGTAAACCAAGAATGCCTCCAAAAATTAAAAGACCGGTACCGGTGAACGCAAAAGAAAAATACGAATATGTTACAGTCGCCACTACAAAAGCACCACCTAAAAATGATGATGATTATGAATATTACGATGATTACGAAGACGAGGAACCGAGTAGGCCATCGTCCTCAGGTAAAACGTCAACGGTGCACCAAAGACCAAAACCGGAGCCAGTAGAAAGGGAAAAATTTAAGCCATCTCGACCACATTCTCCAAGTCAATCGACCAATTACAAAGAAAGGAAAGTGGTTAAAAAGCCTAGTTTAGAAGACGAATACTATGACGACGTCCAATACAAAAGGTCGCGTCCTCAGCAAAAAGTCGAAACCAAACCTAAAGCAGTACCGATAGACGATTACTACTACGATTACGAAGAGGAAGCCCGAGATAAAAAAGTTGTTAAAAAACAAGAAGAGGACATAACATCTAGGATCAAAGACGTCAGGCCGAAAGTGAAAGTTGTTAAACGTCCTTTTTTACCGTCTAGGGGTGGTAGTCCCTACTTACCTAGGGGCTTGCAGCCTGTTAACGGCAAAGATATGACTGCACCTCCTAAAACCACCCCTAAACCTACTACCACTACTACAACCACCACGCCGGCTCCTACCACTACTACTAGAAGAACCACCACCACAGCACGATTGACTACGTCATTTACCACAGAACCTACCTTGATACATCATTATACTGCCCCAGAAGATGAATATGAATATTACGATGAAGAAGACATAGAATATGATACGAAACATAAGCCATCCCCTTTATCTATATCCTCGCCAGACGAGAAGATAGACGCAGTCGAAATTAAAACTCATAAAACGTATAATGATGAACCAAATGTTGACAATCATGAACCAGATGCCGATTCTCGTGAACCAGAACTAGATTTACATGAACCAGAAGTCGATACCGTACAACCAGAAATCATAACGAATGCACCAGAAGTTAGGCCATACACACCTAAAATCAAGACGCACTCTTCTGACACTAGGAGTCATGCGAAAGAGAAAAGGATACATTCATCAGAAATAAGGACTCACCCACCAGATTTAAAAACACACTCACCAGAAATAAAGACGCATTCACCAGAAATAAAGACTCACCTACCAGAAATAAGGACTCATTCACCAGAAATCAGAACACACTCACCAGAATATTCATCAGAAATAAGGACTCACTCACCAGAAATAAGGACACACTTGCCAGAAGTAAGGCCTTACTCTCCAGAAATAAGGACACCGTTACCCGAAATCAAGACTTACTCACCGGAAATTAAAACACACTCACCTAAATTCAAAACGCATTCCGAAGCGATAACAGATCCGCCAGAAATCAGAACAAAGTTCCAAGAACTCAAAACTCACGAGCCAGAAACTGAAACACGTAAACCTGAACTGAAAACACATACACCTGAAGTGGAAACTTACGAACCAGAAACAGAAACAGACGATGAGCCGGAGCTTATCGATGAGCCGGAACCTATAACATCTAAACCTGAAACACAAACGCCGGAATTAAAAACAAGCAAACCTGAAACGTCCACATTAGCACTAACAACACCGGAAGAAAGAGCGAAGAACTTAGCAACGAAAGTTTTGAGAGTCTACAACGATAACTACCAATTGATAAAAGACAAACTAAAGACGACTCTGTCCCCTGGAGCTTATATTAATCCATATTTAGAAGCGGAAGCTTTTGCACCCAAAGAACCGGAATATAAAATAACTAATCCGCCCATAAAACCTAAAATCGCACCGCATCCAGAGATTTCTAAACCACATACGGCAACAGGAAAACCTCCTAAAATACCTGATATTAAACAGAACTTAGCTGATTCTTTAGAAAATGACTATGACGTCACATTAAATGAAGCGATAACCCCTAATCTTCGTAACGTAAATGTGAGGGTACCTAGTGGTTTTGTGATACCCGATAGGGAATACACGTTTTCTAGATTCAGAAATAACTATCCACATTTCGAGCCACAATATGCGGCATCAGAATTGACAAATTATCAAGTAGTTAAGCGTCCCCAAGTTAGTTTAAGAACACCAAACAACTTTTATCTACATCCTCAGAGGGTAGCCGGTTTCCAAGACGATGGGGTACCAAGATACCCTAGGCAGCTCATGTATAGACAAGTCGTAGGAAAATATTTTTAAATGTGATTTTAAGGTAACCTTTGAGAGATGTCAATTGGTGATACGAAAACCTGTAAGGGTATATTTTTATAAATTTTCTTTTTTTTGTAATATAAAAACTTTTTCTTATTTACAATATGCTTTACAGGTTTTCGTTAAAATTTATACGTACTCATACGTACTTTAAGTTTTAAATAGTCATTATTTGAAGGAAATTAATATTGAATTATAAAGACAAATAATTACAAAGAGTTTTTTTGAAAATGACGTTCATAAGGTAATAATTAATTATTATAGTATTGATTATTCTGATTGTATTTTAAAAAGATAAAGATAGTCTATACCCTCAATTCTCTCCTTTTACTGCCAATTTATTTATAAGTTTTTTATAAGGTATGAGATAATACTCTAAGTTACCCTTTTAAATTTAAGAATCTATTTTTTCAAAGGTTACCCCAGCCTTATGTTTAGTTAAACAAATTTTTTTAACAAATATTATATCAAATATGTATAATTTATTTATAAAAATAAAAAATAGTTCATTTGTGTGCAAAGTTTAATTAGTTATAGAAAGATTTGTTTAACCAGACATAATGAATGTAAATTTTTATAATTATAAATATACAATACGAATATTACATTAGATTTAAGATGAAAATTTTAAATACACAAAATTTTTATTAAACTTCTACGAGTTTGATTAATTTTTGTATGGCATATGACTACGACTATTCAGAGTATATTCCAGATGATAATATTTTATTGTTTTATGATTTTTCAATCGTTCCGTAGTTCCAGTTCTTCGTCTTCAAACTTACTTTTTATTATACAGAAAACAATGGTTATCAGACCTGCTCTTCTGTAAAAAATCCAGACCCGAATTCAAATTCACTGATGTGTCCGAATTCAGGTCATTTAGTGTAGAAATTCTATTGATTCCTATTTTGTATAAAAATACGAAATATAACTGATTGCATATACTTGTCTCAGATATTCTATGTCATTTCAAAACTCACTTCACTTATGCCACAAAACGTAATTACCAATTCAAGGTTGAGCGGATGACGCTTCGAATTCGGGTTTGGAAATTTACAGAATCACAGGGCTGTGCTCAAAACTATAATAATATCCTGATTTCTCCTTTTTTTAAACTTCTGTATAATTGATCGAAAAGGAAAAACGGTGTTAATAGTCAACTTCCATGGACATCGATGGCCGATTTTCGTCAACATGAGAATTTTAATACATATTAAATTGTCAATTTGAAAGTCACCTTAAATGCAATATATTAGAACAGGCTTCCTTAATTCATTCGCATTTTCATTATTCGCTTATGAAAAAGTAATAACCCAAATTTATATAGTCGCGGCTAAAATCTGTTTATACACGGATGCAATCGGTAACATAAAGGAATTCAGCATCGTTTATTATCTTTTAAATACTTCACGCATAGCTTTTATAACGCCTTGTAATTTTCGCTTCGTAACATTTAATAAAATACTTTTTAATAAGCTATATTATAATATAGCTTATATCAGAATGTGGGTAGTTTAATTCAGAACACCTATAGGAGGAATAAATAACAGTTACTTGCGATATGCGATAAGTTAATGAGAAGAAAACAATTTTTAAAGTCGTTTTTTGGTCATTTAAAAAAAAAACATATTTTCGTAATCGGACCTGAGGAATTTTTTTCAGTATTTTTCTAATGATATACTTACTAATAGGAACCAAAATATATAAGTTTTATTTCAGAGCAAAAACCATTGTCGGCTAGTATTATTAATACTGTATCTACTTAGTTATGAATCTGAATTTATAGATCTTCCAAAACTGCAAAACAGGAAAAATGAGTAAATCTTTAAAAAACCCTTTTTTAAAGCTGACAATAAACGTTGAGTTTCTCAATAATCTTACTTCAATTGTATTTGTTTTAACATAGTATGTGCTTTTATTTTGGACCCTTGGAATGTATCCCCTATAATTCTATGCTAAATGCCACTCGTCTTTTTTGTATTCGCGACATATTTAATTAACATATCCTCCGCGAATAAAGAAATACAGATTCTATTGTATTTCAATTGAAAATTTCATCGCTCTGCTATTAAGAATATGGGCTAAATAAAACATATTAAATTATTTACACCAGTTCATATATTTATTTCAATAAATTTATTTCTTCGCACAATTATATTATAAAATCATTAACAAAAACAAACATAACATGTAACATGACTATATGACATTATTAAATATTATTAAATTATTTGCCAATTTGAAATTAAAATGGCATTTTCGAATGAATTAGTGTTTACAATAAGACCTATTAAAAGTTAAAATATTAAAGAGAACATATTTCTCTAAAACAATTATTTTCAGCCTGTCTAAACTCAAAATTTAGTTAATTTTTAATCCATGAATATTGTTTAATATACATTGCGGTCATTGAAATCTTTTTTAAATTAATTACTATTGTATCACTAATTTGAAATAAATAGATGAATATTTAAATAAAAAAAGAATAATTGATCTAAATCATATTTCCATTCAAAAACATATTTATTTTTTTTTATATAAAACATTTCTTAAAAAAAAACAATGATCATTTTTACATCTTACTAATGTATAAATTATTTATAGATTTGATAAGAACACATCTACCACCGTATACCAGACAGAGAATACCTCAAAATTATTGTTCATCTAAAAAAATAATATCAACAAAAGGCGTATTTGACGGCGCTCTTCAAACTTTAGTTTTGATGATATGATAGATACGAGTGTGTCTTTAAAAATATTAAAGTCTTCTACAACAATATCTTTCTGTATAAAAAACCGGCCATGTACTAGTCGGACTTGCGCACGTAGGTTGTATGGGAGCCCCCCTAAATATTTATTTTACTATGTTTTTTTTTTGTAGTTGTATTTAAAAATTTCAACTGTATAATTTTCACGATTCATGAGATACAACTTGGTAACAGACTGACAGTCAGCGAAGTTTTAGCAATAGGGTACCCCTTTTACAGTTTGTGTTCGGAACCCTAACAAGTTTTTTAACATTAATAGTGATATACTTGTTTATATAAAGCACAACATATCACTATTATCAAATTATGACATGGTTTAAAGTTAATGGACCAAAAGATACAAATCTTCTTAGTTTCGCAGCATGGACTAATCTAAACATGTACAAAGTTGCAAAACGAAACGATTTTCCAGCACCCGTTCCCAAAATTTTGTCTTCTATGACATACTAATAAATAAGAAAATAGTTACGACAATTCCATGCAAGACCTCTATCAGTAAGAGGCTGTGGGCAAAAAGCCGCTTCGCCCCCAAGCCGAACTACACCATTTTCACTAAACTTAGGAGTCGTTTAGATCTGTCGCTTAAATATTTAGGAACCGCCTAAGGTGAAAATGCCTATCAGCAATGATTAGAAACTGCTTAATGACATTAAGCAATGACTCAATTTATGACATATGTTATGCGGAGCCGTGCGCTAGGCATTTGTTTATTAACATATAACAATTGTGTCAAGAGATAAAAAACAATTTGTTTATTTAGAATTAAACGAATCTGCTTGGGTTCGATTCGTAGGTTTAGGCGTTTCCTAGTTAATTTATGCCTTGCTAGAATAAGTGAAAACGGGTGAGAGCCTCTTTATAAACAGACATTATAATGTTTATGTATATATTTGAATTAATAATAGAGCTTATCACCAACCTCGCTTCAGCGAGGTAATTGTATAAGACAAAATTACGCTTCCAACCTGAGTTTGGTTACAAGATCTGGAAGGATAATCATCAGTGTTCAAGCGTCGCAGGAAAGGTTGATAATTCCAAGTCTTCTTCTGTACTAGATTTAAATTGAAGTAAGAAAACAATGATTCTATCTTCATTCTACAAACTTATTAATCCAAGAGTAAATCAAGAAGGCAATATAGATTTAGCACCAGTCATATGTTCGGCAGATCTTACGCATTTCAATCATATAAAGATAAATAAATAACATTAATATCAAATTGTGTTATCAGTAAGTAAATTTAGCAATTAAAAAAACAATTAAAAAAGCAATTAAAAAAAAACGGTTCACATAGTACTATTGAGTCTAAAAATTATTTAGGGTTTAAAAATACATTATCACCTTGTCACATTGAAAGCTTGAACTCTAAGTTCGTATTACAACTTTGATTATGTGATGATGTTTCTATTTTAACTAATGATGTGCCTGAATTCAGAAAATTATATTCCGCTAATAATATAAATATTTATTTTTTATAATCTTATGCAAGGTATACCAGAATTACCAGTAAACTTAAAATGATCAACTTGGACCGCTAAAACTAATCAAGAGACTCATAACCTAGAGTTCTCAAACTTATCTCTCAGTGATCTATACTTCAAATGCCAGTTATCCGAAGTGAATGATTCCTCTGGTGTGTTCTTCTGAAGACTGCCAAATTTCACAGTCTTTGTACTGCCATTATTTTCGACTGTTACTGATTTGTTTACTGCAGTCTTATCCTCGCTGCCGTGGAACAGCCTGTTGACCATGAAATGTGTGAAGTAGAAGAAATAGGCAGATGCCCAGATGAGGCACTGGAACAAGGAGACCTGCCACCAGGTCATGATGCCGAAAACGTTGTACAGCCAGCGACCCGTGAAGTAGTAGATGGAGTAATATCTGAAAATATATGTTTTATATACTTGAAGTTTATACTAGCCTGTGACATTTTTTCGCACGTTGAGAACGATAGTGACACAATGCAAAAAATGCGATTTAGAGTAATGAGCGTTTAAAGTTCAAGAAATTGTAAGCAGCCCCTCTAAACAACGTATCGTCACTACGCCATCTAGCAGTTTCTATGCAAGCTACGTTTACAGGGATCTTTGCATTTTAAAGTTTATACTTAATAAAGAAAAATGTTGTCAAAAGTAAAAAATATGTCGTTTTTGGTTAGTGACATTGTCATTCTCAACGTGCGATTTTGTCCCCGTAAAGTTTATGTCATCGATGTAAAAAATCGATCTAGAATTATATTCAACATAAACAAACAACTAAACAAATATTTATCTTTATAGTATTAGTATACATACATAGTATAAAGTATATCTCCTGTATGTAAACACAAAACTATATACGGTCAATGAACAGGAAGAATTTCATGCGTTAAACTTAGTGATTTATATCGTAAATACTTTAGGTTCACTTAACGTTTACGTACGAAGTTCTATCTGTTCGATAAACGTGTTGAAATTAGAAACATTCCCATGGACTTCTATCCGATTCACGGAGTAAGTCACAAAGATTTTTCATAAAAGTAATCAATATGTTATGTACAATCGTTTCAATGTCGGATAAAATTGTAGATACTCACATAGCTGCATATCCGAATGATGTGAATGTAGTGAGTTTTAGTTCCAGACTCTTATTTGTGGGTTGTCTTCTGGGTGTGAGGAGAGTCTCGATGAGAACGACGATTGCGATATTTGTGTGGACGCAGTGATTGAACCACCAGGGCACTACGGAATCGAATACCTCAGGGTACACTAGTTCTCTGTCTATGGCGTAAACAGTCCAGAATAATGATGTAACGAACTGTAAAATAAATAAATCATGATTCTTCTACAATATGGGGTATCTAATGAACGGACTCGTTGAGAGTAACTAGAAAAATAATGTGATGTCATTCTAAATTAGTGCGGACCATACAGGATGGCTGAATAAATATTTTTAATCCACTTCTACAACATGGGTATGAAATGATAGGGCTTGTTGAGAGTAACTTGAAAAATAATGTGACGTTATTCTAAATCCAATATGCCCAACCATTAAAATATTTATTTTGTTTTACTTCTAATCCTACCGATAAATTTCGGTATTCCCTTTATAACCTTTGTTTAGCCGTATTGTAGAACATTGCGGACAGCTACTTGACTGAGCGAAAGTCAACCCGTTAATTGAATGGCGCAATTCAATTATAGGGCTAGCCGCCAAATTGATCACCTGATTATACCACTTGGCTGCGACATAGACTAATAAAATATACATAAACTACGGCCCGCGGGCCAAATCCGGCCTGCCAGTGTCATCAATCTGACCCGCGACAGCCAATGATTTATTGTTATTACTATTGCTGTTATAAGTTAAAGAAGAAACCACAGAATGATAATTACTCGGCTTTATTTACTTGCAAGGTAAAACTTAACGACAGAAATGATGACGCAGAAAACTTAACTTAAGTATCTAAGTTTAAGCTTTGTTCAGTATTCGCTTTGGTAAACAAAGATTGCGATTTGAGTCCGCGTTTCAAAGCTTCAAATTTTTCCGTCCGCAAACTTCCTGCATATTTGAAGTAATTTTGAAGATGTTTCGATTCATAGTGTCGTTTAATGTTATATTCTTTGAGAATAGCTATGGTTTCATTACAAATTATACATAGCGCCTTATTACTGGACTCAATCACAAAATACTGAAAGTTCCATTTATCTTGGAACGTTCTGCATTCACTGTCGTTTTTCGCTTCTTTTCCATACTAACAAATCACACATAAAAACAATTAGTCAAATCAAAGTACTTTTATGCACGGGTGTTACTTTATTTCCCAATAGACAGTTTCGCTTCCTTCGCCTTTCCTACACAGACTGACTTGCGGTTGCGCCGCTAACCTTTTTATATGCAATTACTGCCATCTCCAAGTGATTGGAATACACTAGCTAGCCAGAACCAGAACTTTCTCGAACCAACGAGGTAATTTCAAATATTTAATTACTACTTATGCCACCTGTTAGCGGGTAGCTGAAATAGATAGTACATAGTACAATACATAGTACCACTACTTGCCACTAGATGTTAATAAGTGTCACAATATGAGATGATCAATCAAAGATGTCAATAAGTCGCGCACTTTGCGACTATTCTAGTCTAGAAATATTGTTAAGGGCAGAAAAATTAAAACTGGTTTGGCCCTTGGAATAAACTGAAAAATCATTATGGCCCGAAGGCTTTAAAGTTTGAAGACCCCTGACATAGACAAAACGTTTCTAGAGTTTGTCATGCTACGCATGCTGGAATAGTCATTGTTGCTATATACTTTACTCTTTGCATTATTGCTTACCAAAGTAAAAGGCACCACGAGTCCATTGTATAGGACGTCCCGCCAGTACATGATCTTCTTCGCCCTCTCTGTATCTTGTTTGTTCATCCATTCTAGTATATCATAGGTTAAGGCAAGGAATATGAACACCGTCTGGAATGTCTGCAACAAGACATAAATTATCATCAACATTGGTTCTGAACCTTTTTATCTCACATCTTAAAATTAAACACATACCAAGTTTAAACCATTAACCGACTTAAATAAGTCAACTCGTCACAATTTGAAGTTTTCTCTTCTATCACTATCAATTTGCATTAGACGGCCAGTGGTTTAAACTAATGACTAACTTATTTCTATTAGAGTTAAGAAAATAATATGAAAAACGAAAAGTCCATATTTAACAAAACATTGTGTCACTAAATAAAAATATACGTTCAAAGTCAGGATTACGACGATAACATATCACAATACCAAACACGACCCGAATTTTTTTTTCTATTTATTTAAGGCCCTTAGGTCGCAACACGACGCTGATCTATATAAATAAAAATGAATGGACGAAATGTAGGCTAGGTTAAGAGGCTCCAGTTTTATGTACATGAGTCGCTTTAATCAGTCCATTATACCTGAAAAGTTAACTGTCCTTCTTTAGCCAACCTTACTCCGCCCAGAAGCGCAGAAGCTTTTTAGGGTCGTCACAGGTTTCACGAAGTGTTTATGGACTGCCTAGTATAGAGGAAATATATGTATGCATTACTTCAAAATGACGTTACAAAATTAAATTAAACAATTTCGTTTTGTTTGTTATTATCAAAATAAAGTTTCAGTGAGTAGACACCCGCTGGATGGACCCATAGAGAGTTCCACATAATCTTGTCAATCGCCAGGAGGCGAGGCATACTGAAAGATTTTTATCTAAAATAAAAAGGGGTAATAATCCAAAAAGGTTAGGAACCACTGGATTACACTGCACGACGTTTTATCGTTTGCTATTTAGGTCGCCCTTTCAAACAGTTATCAGTAGTGGCTGATAGGACAGGATGTGACATCTGCACGCGAGAGTAAATTTGTTTATTAGATTATTTGTATATCTGCATCAATGTAGTCTCGGAGACTAAGTATATGCATTATAACTGTGTTATTCATTTATAAAACACCCTCGAATTTGTCGAACGCAGCGCTGTCGCAGCATAGAGGTTCAATTAAATAAAACCTACTTCACAAGGTATTAAGAGTTTTATTTCATTGAAGCTCTGTGTTATTACAGCGCTGTCCGAATCATTTTTAACAGAATAGCCCCAAAAAAGAATTTTTCAGTACGCCAGATTTCATAGTACCGCAATTTAACTTCGTTTAAAATGACATTTACACACGGTGCCGTGCAGCCATTTCCATTACCACGGTTACCATAATACGTCAAAATTCCACAATTGATTTAACATCGCGTGGGGAAATTTGTCAGTTGTGTATAGTTTGACGTACTGTTGACAGATACTTATTAAAAAAAAAAGAAATATGAAAAATGTGACTTTAAAATTAATTTAAAATCTATATTATGTTATATCTAAAACAATATTACCAAGACTGAACATTTCATTGTTTGTTTATTCGCATTTCATAGGCTCCGAAACTTATGGACCGATTTAAAAATTCTTTCTCCTTTGGAAAGCTGCTGGAAAGAAATGCGATAACGCGTATTATACGTAAGTGACATAAGCTTAAATATATGCGGGAGAAGTCACGGGATTGGATAGGATAACCATTTTATAGTAACAATACTATAAAATGCTTCTTCAATCTATTTTAAGTCATTATCTACTGATCGTTAAGTACAACATTGATTGCAGTTTGGCCATAGGTAATAATTGAATTTGCTGCTGTGTTTCTGTTACAAAGCCATAGTTACAAAAGTATTTCTGGACAAAGGCAATGACTATTTATAAGCAGAACAAAAAAAAAAAATTTAAAGAAAAACAAAAACATCCGGCTGCGTAAAAAAATTTAAAAAAATACATGATAAAATTAACTTAAATAAAAACTTAAAAGAAAGAAACAAGTCCAGTAGTTTAGAATTCTGTTAAGTAATACAGAACAGAACGACTCACAGTCGGGGCCCCTTGGGAAGATTTGATTGGTAAAATTTGAATGGGCCCCGACTGTGAGTCGTTCTGTTCTGTATTACTTAACAGAATTCTAAACTACTGGGCTTGTTTCTTTCTTTTAAGTTTTTATTTAAGTTAATTTTTTCATGTATTTTTTTAAATTCGTTTTTACGCAGTCGGGTTTTTGTTCTTTCTTTAAATTATCTATTTTTATTTTATACTTTTTAGTTACGATTCGTTGACTTATAAGATGGCAAATATCGCAATCTAATCATTTCATTGAGGGAGTTAATATCGTGGGGATTATTAAGTAACTTGCGGTGGTCTAAACTACTGATGATTAGTCCCTCTAGAGACCTAACTCAGCTCAAAGCTACAAATGCTTTATTTTTTACCAAAAATATTTGTTCTTCATGCTTTTTCACTGTTTTTTTTTGTTTGCATATCGTTTATACTTTAAATAAAAACAAATCAATAAGTAAGAAAATTACCGATAATGTTTTGTTAAACAACTTTAAATCGTTATATATCCTAAACTATTATTTAAAATTAAAAATGATAAAAGGAACCTAAAGATAATTTTAAAATACCTATTCAACCACACTCCACTTGACATAGTTCATCGATTTTTAATGCACACATACATACATCAAACCATACATACATAGACTGATAAACACATTACCCTCCTTTGCATCGCGCAGTAGGGTAAATACAATAAAAATTGATATAAATACAAGTAATATCTTTTTTAATGAAATAATAACTTAAAAGAAGTAAATAACCTGTTGCTATGTAAAGAGAAACAACATTAAAATCTATTGCTTCAAATAATATTTATTATCTGTATAAAATTAATGCTTTTACGTATAACTCATTTTAAAATGGTTTTTTAAAATGAGTTATAGAAATTTTAAAATGGTCATAGTGTAAACTTCTGCTAACATAGATATTAAGGTAAAGCGCGGGCAATTTAAATTAAACGAAGTGTAACAGAGCTTCATTTACATACATAATATTACAAAATAAAACTCTAAACAACATATTATAATGGGGGTTATCATTTAGTATAATTGACCTTATATATCACGCCACTAGTTTGATAATACTTAATTAAACCAACATTTATCAACCCTTCACTTAGTTAATTAATGAGTCACATATCTTAAAGCAATATTAGAACAGCTGTCCGTGATATATTGTGCTACACATACATACTTGTGCTTATTTATTTTGTAATGGGTAATATGTGTCTTGGTGGTTTCATCAATAAACAAAGAAATTCCACGGAGAGGTATTAGTATTTTGCGAAAATAGACTGATTTATGATTTTTGATGATGATACATTTATTATATAATCTAAGGATAAATGTTATAACTCGTACAAATTACATGACACACGAGGACCTATTCTATTGGTCCTCGAACGAAAATTCGGAAAGTGTTGCATCATTCTTATAATTTTGTTAAAATCGTATACTTGAAGATTGTAAATTAATAACTGCTTAAGAAAACCTTTAAGGTCTTATTATAAAGTGAGAACTAATTTTAGTATCATATTTAAACCATTATCCGAGCAAAATAAGGTAACGCTTTTCAATTTTACGTTTTCTTTTTTGTCATTGTGCCAATTGTGCTAATAGTATATACCAACTTTGATATCTGTTTTTTATTAAGACAAATATAGTTTTCTCAAACATTGACCTCGTAGATTGTTGCATTCGAATACACGCTGTTGCTAATGACCCAACGAATTATTATCTAGAATGCCGCCATTTAAACTTCGTAATATTATCTCATAGGTCACACGAGTTCAAAGTGCAATCACGTGTCTGTTATCTAAACTCCACGGAGGAAACGTAAATTGTAATTAAAAAAAAGAAAACCATAGATCACTTCTTGTTTTTGTTTATATAATAGGCTTCGCCATAGTCGCATATGCTGTTACTATTTTCAAAAATATATTTTTTACAAACTTTGTTTTATTCTCTTCGTAAATATGATTTTGGAACTCGAAGAAGCAGTTATTATGCAATTTTTGGGCTAGTCTAAGAATGGGTGATCCTGTGAAAATTTGCTTATCAAGAATTTATTTTTCTCGAAATTTAAAATGTACGAGTAAAGGGTTTTCAAATAAATCTTTCAATAATAAAATAAACTTAATAGAAAACATGACAAAAAATACATAAAATAAAGGCAATTTCTGTATTTTATTGAAAACGTCATTATGTTACTACATTTTAATTAATAATATGAAAACATTACGTTAAGATACATTGGAATGAGTCGGTTTATATTATTAGCACGTGCTAGACAGACATCCGTTATGACTACGTTATCTATATGTACAAAGTATAAACTAAAAGATTATCAAATAATAATTGTTGTTGACAACAACTTGTTACTTCCTAATTAGTTTTTGATGAAACTATCTTCAGATAGGCAATTCTGTTAAATAAACTCGAATTCGACGTCGTGCACAGCGCTGTGACAACTTAGAAATAAAATCTGTTAGGTCTTGGGTAGCTCAGTGGTTAGAGTGGCCACCTAGATTGCTAAAGGTAATGTATTAGAGAGCCCATCTCAGAGAGCCAGGGACAAAATGGTTCTTTTTAGCATTTTTCTTTACCAATATTTTTCAGTATAGCATTGTGAATGCAAAATTGATCAAATATAATAAATAAAACCTTTAATTCCTTTTGATGTGTTAAAAAAATAATAATGGACGGTGTAATTGCAATTGCCCATGCAAATAACTCGCGTTGCTCGTAGCGTTGATACTATAGTCGCACCACACGTAGGGTTGCCAGATAGCGAGACTAAAATATCTGGACAAAATTTGAAAAAGTCGGGATTTTGGGATCACAGTCGGGACAAAAAAAAATACTAATAAAAATTCGTCTTTAAGTAATTTTTTTTTGTTAATAATAACAAGTATCTATTTTTTCGTCAATTTATAAGATCACATAATAATAGTAAAACATTTAAACAGCTATATTTGTTATGATATGTGTGTTATTTTATTTTTTTATATTTGGAATTCGATTTTTCAGAATC